ATTTCTTTTTTGGTTCATTCTTAGGATTTACATCTCTCTGCTTACACTGCTAATCTTTTTTTTTTACATTTATTTTTTTAAATATATTTTATTGGTTATGCTATTACAGTTGTCCCATTTCCCCCCTTCACTCCCCTCCACCCTGCACACCCTCTCCCACCCACTCTCCCCCCTTTAGTTCATGTCCATGTGTCATACTTATAAGTTCTTTAGCTTCTACATTCCCATACTATTCTTGTCTTCCCCCTATTTTCTACCTACCGTCTATACTACTTATTCTCTGTACCTCCCCCCCCAACTCCCTTGTTGTTAATATTCCATGTGATCTCCATTTCTGTGGTTCTGTTCCTGTTCTAGTTGATTGCTTAGTTTGTTTTTGTTTTTGTTTTAGGTGTGTTTGTTAATAATTATAAGTTTGCTGTCATTTTACTATACATGTTTTTTTATCTTCTTTTTCTTAGATAAGTCCCTTTAACATTTCATAAAATAAGGGTTTGGTGATGATGAACTCCTTTAACTTCACCTTATCTGGGAAACACTATCTGCCCTTCCATTCTAAATGAAAGCTTTGCTGGATAGAGCAATCTAGGATGTAGGTCCTTGCCTTCCGTGACTTGGGATACTTCTTTCCAGCCCCTTCTTGCCTGCAAGGTCTCTTTTGAGAAATCAGCTGATAGTTTGATGGGAAATCCTTTGTAGGTTACTGTCTTCTTTTCTCTTGCTGCTTCTAGGATTCTCTCCTTCATTTTTTTCTTGGTTAATGTAATTATGATGTGCCTTGGCGTGTTCCTCCTTGGGTCCAACTTTTTTGGGACTCTCTGAGCTTCCTGGACTTCCTGGAAGTCTATTTCCTTTACCAGATTGGGGAAGTTCTCCTTTATTATTTGGTCAAATAACTTTTCCACTTGCTCTTCCTCTTCCCCTTCTCCGACCCCTATAATTCGGATGTTGGAATGTTGAAAGATGTCCTGGAGGTTCCTAAGTTTCTCCTCATTTTTTGAATTTTTATTTCTTCATTCTTTTGTGTTTGGTTGTTTCTTTTTTCCTTCTGGTCCACTCCATTGATTTGAGTCCCAGTTTCCTTCCCATTACTATTGGTTCCCTGTGCATTTTTCTTCATTTCACTTAGTGTAGCCTTCCTTTGTTCATCTAATTTGCGACCAACATCAACCAATTCTGTGAGCATCCTGACCACCAGCGCTTTGAACTGTGCATCTGATAGGTTGGCTATGTCTTGGTCGCTTAATTGTATTTGCTGTGGAGCTTTGAGCTGATCTTCTGTTTGGGCAAATTTTTTTTTTGGTCTGGTCGCTCCTGTTATGTATGAGGGGCAGAGCCTTAGGTGTTACCAGGGAAGGGCAGCCCAGTCGCTGGGTTGTGACACTGTATGTGGGGGCAGGGTCCTAGAGGGAACAATGGCGCTTGCTCTTCTCTTGGTCAGATTTCAGTCTGCTGCCACTTCCCCCAAGCAAACAACCCTTCTGATGCTGATTCCCATGTGGGTGGTCCTGTGCACATTCTAGGACCCTGTGAGTCTCTCCAGCGAACTCTCCTGTGAGGCTGGGAGTCTCTCCCTGCGCCTCAAACCTCACAGGTGTTTTCAATCAGTGTCCTGAGGCTCTATTTCCTGGCTCTTGGACCCCAGGTTTTGTGGTCTGTCTCACTGCCCAGTTTATTTGCATGTGAATGTGGGACCACCCAGACAGCCAGGCACCTTGCACACAGTGCCTTGCTTCACAGTCGCTGCCTTGCTGGGACTGTCAGCTACCTGCCTGCCCAGGATGTGCCTGTTGCCATCTTGCGCCTGGGATGCCTTACACGCCTGGTGCCACTACTCTTTGTGTCGTGACCCCTCTCTGCCCCGCTGCCCGACTCCGCTTTTCCTACCTATCTGGATGAATGTGTATATTTTAATCCTTGGTCGTCCAACTTCCATACAGTTCAATTTTCTGTCAGATCTGGTTGTTATCTTGTTTCTAAATTGTTGCTGATCTTATTTTGGTTGTGTGAGGAGGAGGCACAGTGTGTCTACCTATGCCTCCATCTTGGCCAGAAGTCCAACCTTCTTCTTTTTTTTTTTTTTTTAAAGATTTTATTTATTTATTTTTAGAGAGGAAAGGGAGGGGGAGAGAGAGAGAGAGAGAGAAACATCAATGTGTGGCTGCTGGGGGCCGTGGCCTGCAACCCAGGCATGTGTCCTGACTGGGAATCGAACCTGCGACACTTTGGTTCACAGCCCGCGCTCAATCCACTGAGCTATGCCAGCCAGGGCCCGATCTTTTTAAATTTATTTTTTAAAACAGTTTTTAAAAATGTTTTATTTATTTATTTTTAGAGAGAGGGGAAGGGAGGGAGAGGAACAGAGATGTGCAAAGTATACATCAATCGGTTGCCTCTCGAATGCCCCCAACTTGGGACCTGACCCACACTTCAGGCGTGTGCCCTGACTGGGAATCAAACTGGCGACCTTTAGGTTCTCAGGTCAGCACTAAATCCACTGAGCCACACCTGCCAGGGCCCCATCTCCTCTTATATGGTGTTTATTCTGTTCATTAGAGCCTTTAGCATATTAATCATAGTTGTTTTAAATTCATGCTGTTAATTCCATCATTCCTGCCATATCTGGTTTTGAAACTTGTTCTCTTTCTTCAAATTGTTTTACCTTCGAGTGTGCCTTGGAATTTTTTTCTCTATAGTTGGATATGAGATACTGGGAAAAAGGAACTCTTGTAAATAGGCCTTTACTAACTTGGTGGTAATGTGTGGGGGAGGGGAAGCATTCTGTGGTCCTTGATTAGGTCTCAGTCTTTTAGTGAGCCTGTGTCTCTGGACTGTGAACTTCAGTGTTTTAGTATTCCCCTCTTCTCTTAGGTGGGAGAAGATGTGCTGGAGTTGAGTATTTCCTTTCCTCAAGGTTGGTTAGGCTCTGATAGTACCCTACAGGTTAGGCTCTGGTTAACTACTTGCTCCTCATGTCAGTCCTTGTTAAGAAGAACAGTGCTCTAGTATACTTCAAATGGTTCCCTTCCCCCTACTCCTTGGGAATGAGGGGATTTTTCTTTGGTGTTTACTGTGAGGACCTGGTCAAGCTCCTGGATGTAAGACTCACAGAATTGGGGGGATGAATTCCCACTGAAGTTTTTCTTTAAAGACTTAATATTTTTCAGAACAGTTTGAGTTTCACAATAAAATTTAGAGAAAGGTACAGTTCCCACATTTCCCCTGTCCCCACACATGCATTTCCTCCTGCATTATCAGGATCATTCAGCAGACTGGTACATTGGTACCTAGGATGAACCTATATTTACACATCATAATCACCCAAAGTCGACAGTTTACCTTAGTGATCATTTTTGTTATTGTACATTCTGTGGGTTTGTACAGATGTGTCATAACATATATCCATCTTTATAATATACAGATTATTTTCACTCCCCCCACATCCTCTGTGCTCTGCCTATCCGTTTTATTGTCCCCATAGTTCTGCCATTTCTGGAATGTTGTATATTTGGGATCATACACTATGCAGCCTTTTCAGATTGGCTGCCTTCTTTATCTTAGTGATATGCATTTAAGGTTCCTTCATGTATTTTTATGGCTTGATAGCTCATTCCTTTTTAGTACTAAATAATATTTCATTGTCTGGATGTACCACAGTTTATCTTTTCACCTACTGAAGGACATCTTAGTTGTTTCCCAGTTTTGGCTGTTATAAACAAAGCTGCTGTAAACATCCATGGGCAGATTTTGTGTAGACTACTCTGGAGTTTTTAACTCAGACTTATCCACACTGAGCTTCCAGCAATTGGTCAGTTACAGGTGAGATTTTCCTGGTGGTTCAGGCACTGGTTTACATGGTGGTTTTTGTTCTTGAGTCTCTGCTCCAATAAGCCGTGCCTCTTGTATTTTTCTCTATGGCTCTCTAATATTGGGGTCAGTGGTTTTCACTGTGTCCTTCCCACTCTTATGGATCCTAGAAAAGTTGTTGAGTTTTCAGTTTGTTCAGCTTGTTACTTAATGAGATAGAGTCGTGACTTACAAGCTCTCTACAAGTGGAGTCAAAAACTAGAAGTTCTCAACTACTTTTCAAATATGAAAAATAGTACATAAAAAAGTAGGGTATATACAGGGTATGTACAGGGTAGGGCAAAAGTAGGTTTACAGTTGTTCACATGGAAAATAATACAATAACTAATAAATAATGATATAAGAACAAACTTTGTTTTGCATGCTCACATCTGTAAATCTATTTTACTCCACCCTGCATATGATTTATTTATTTATTTATTCCTCACGCAAGGGCATTTCCATTGATTTCTATAGAGAGAGGGAGAGATTGAGAGAAAGATAGAGAGAAAACATCAGTTGGTTGCCTCCTGTATATGCCCCAGCTGGGGACTGAACCCATAACCCAGGCATGCCCTGACCAGAAATCAGCTGGCAACCATTTGGTGCACAAAATGACACTGAACGTTCCGACCAACTGAGCCACTTCGCCAGGACCTGTATATGATTTTTGAAAAGTAAACTATGTGAAAAAGAATACGATGAAACATTTAAGTCTCTTTCCCATCTTTGATTGTAGTTTGCCAGGGCTCCTCCCCCAAGGAAACCAGTGTTAATAGTTTCATGTATATTCTTTCATAGGTAATCTCAGCATGCAAATGTATGTGTGTATGTAACCTTTTTTTAAAAAAATAAATAGGGCCTTGTTTTTGCTTAAGAGTTTATTTTATATCCACATACAATCTTTCATTCTTTTTTATGGCTGCAAATTGTTCTATTAGATATGTATGTCATTATTTAACACCTCTCATCTCCCCATGATGAACATTTATATTTCCAGACTTTTAATTAAATCAGTATATATCCATGTACATACATCTTTGCAATGTGTGATTATATCCATGAAATATGTTCCTAGGAGTTATTTCCTTAGTATTAGTAAATACATATAGCTGTTTTATGAGTGTAAGATGAGTTTTTCCCCACTTCTTTAGAAAGAAGCCTAAGAAGAGAGAAAATGGGACTGGATGTAGAAGATCAATGCGATTACAAAATGTGGATCCTTCAGGAGTTTCATTACCAGAAACCCCAACCCTGCCAACAGTAGTAGAAGATGAAAATGTAAGAAAGTGCAAATATAATATACTAACTCAATAAAATACTGAAAATTTTGAAGTGTTTGAAACTAGTCTAAAGGGGCATTAAATTATGTTGAAATTGTACTTTATTAGTTTAATACTTGACTGTTATATGGTTTAATGCTATGATTTTCAAACAGTGTGCCACAAGAATTTTTAAAACATTCAATACCTGACTAATTTAGTTAGGTGTGTTACCGAACAAGGGACCAAAAGGGGCAATTATTGGCCCACCCAGGAACACCAAAAACTGTTACAGAGCACAAGGGCCAAAAAAAAAAAAATACTATAACTGAAAGGAACCCCCCAGGTTCATTATGTCCGCTGCCTTATAGGAAAGACATCTCTCAATGCCAAAGATTTGTGAAAAGGAAAGGAAATGTTTATTTAATGCTATACAGACTTAAAGTAGTGACCTAACGTCTTCATTAAAATATCAAAGTCCTTTAGGATACCCACAGACGCCCACAGTCTTCCTTCTCCCCCGTCCTACTTCGGGGTACTGTAACTCTGGAAAAGAAGTGAATATCCGTGTTTCAGGCTCCTGACACCATCAGCTGCGTCACCACCCAAGCAGGATCTCTAATTAATCCAAAGCCATGTGGCACCTTCTCATGGCCTACTGTCAAGAGTTTTTTCACCCTTCTTCCAGGCAAAGTCTCTCCTGCTTTCCAAGCCATGCAGCCAAAGGGAGCAACCCAAAGCTGTGTGGTCGTCTTCTACCAAAGCTGTGGGGGTCTGCACTCTGGTCAAAAACCACATAGTTCTTCTCTCCACCAAGGCTGTGGTGGGGTTGGGGGCAGTCACCATTCTGCCAAAGCCAAGTGGCAGTATTCTGCTAAAGCCAGGTGGTGGTTCCCCCTACTAAAGCTGTGGGTGTCCCCACTGTGGCAAAGCTGTGTGGCTCTTACATGGCCACAGCCGTGTGGTGGCTCTCCTTTCTATTGCCACAGCTGCATGGTTCTTTGCACTGCCACAGCCACGTGGTCCTCTCTCTTACATGACTGCAGGAGTCCCCACTCTGGCAAAGCCACATGGTTCTCTCCCCAGTGGCTGCGGAGTCTCCGTTTTAAATCCCCGTGCCAATCTTCCTCTGCAGCCCCATTTCCAACTCCTCCCACAATCGGCTATGTTTGCCTACATTCCCATATCCTTCCAACTTTACTGGGCTGCCATAGTGAGCCTGGGCAGGCGTGGCCCCATTGTGTGAAGCCAATCTTCTCCAAGCTGTTACATGGGCACTGTAACTCCGGGGACCTGCTCCCCAGTTATGTCTTGGGGGGGAAGTTACTTCCATCTCCCTGGCTCAAAGCATGGCCACAGCTATTTAACAAATCTATGCAACCAGTTAAAAGATAGATATGTTAAATGACCATGCCAGAAGTTAGCTGCAAAGCTGTTGCTGTACAAAACAGCCCTCAATGATTCTGCTCCATTAACCCCTTCCCCCAACTCACACTTGTGGGGGGAGGAAGGGGAAGGACATCTTATGTATCTTTCTAATATTTTCTGGATACCCAGAGTTCTGGACCCCATTTAAAATCTCTTTTTGGGGCCCCCCTCTTGGCTATACACTGTTTCCGGTGCATTGACCTCTTTTCCCTTTGGTTGTCAAATAAAAAAATGACAATAAGCAACACAACAATAGCCATCTAGTGTGAATGAATCAGAATTATACCTTTTTTTGTCAGTTTGGTAAAAAATATATTTTTTGGTGTGCTGCAAAATTTTAGTAGTTTATGTGTGTCATGAGATGAAAAAGGTTGAAAATTTCTGGTTTAATGAGTAAGATTTCTAAGTCATTAAGAAAGGGTTGGATTCTGTATTTCTGTAGATTTATCTACTGTGGGATTTGGGTAAATTACTTAACCTTTTTGAATTCTGGTTTCCCCATTTTTTTATATGGCAACAATAGTAGAAATCTCAACAGGGAGTTGTGAGGGTTAAATGAAATAGTTTCTATAAAGATCCTTACATTGTACAATATTAAGGTCTTAGTAAGCAATCAATAAATGGTAGTTATTAATGTTATCAGTAATAAATATGTTAATAGTGATTTTTTTGCTGTAGTTTAATTTTATAATCTCAGTGAGCATAAAGAGTCTTATTTATCAAATTTATTGTCTCAGTAAGATTGTACTTTTTACTCAAGAGTACCTACTGTTTTTAGTATTTTATACTTAAGTGCTTGATTATAAATTGGGCAATAATTTGTTTGGTGCTTTGCTAATTGCAAATTAAGATACTATGGGAGGAATAGCTTTCAAATTTTTTTGAAGCTTCCACCCATGATAAGAAATATATTTACATTGAACTCATTACACAAATACACACATGCACACACACAACTAAAGCAAAACTTGTAAAATGATACTTAACCTTTACTATATATGATGCACTTCTGTATTTTCTATTCTTTTTTCATTCACTAAAACATATTGCTGGTTGTGGTATATTAAAGTGATTTCATGACCCTGGGTTACAACCTCTGATTTAAAAAACACAGCTGTAGGATAATTTTGATTATGAAATTAAACTGAATCAATTCTCAGCAACTCCAGTTCTTGGCAGTATAACTATTGCTAAGTTAATTTCTCTAAGTTTCATCTCAGTGTTTTTAAAATGTGGTATGTCATTCACAGGATTTCTGAGAGGATTAAATGAGATAATACATTTTATTACAAGGATAGATAGTGTTCATTCATTGAACAACTATTTTTGAATGCTAATGGTGTGTCACCCCTGTTGGTATTGAAAGTAAAGTAGTGAAAAACCTCAAGTGTACATTGTAAGGCAGGAAACAATCAACTCTTTTATGTGTTTGTTTTTGTTTTTGTTTTTAAATAACAGCCTTTGTTACCTCCTGGGCCTTTAGAAATGACTCCTGAAAATCAAGATGATAACAGTGAACTATTTAAAGGATTTCTACAGACCTGGGCAGAAGCGAGCAAGGTATCAGTTGGGAGGGATTTTAGATTTTAGAATCATCTGTTAATGAAATTTTAGTACATGTCTTAACTTAGTACTTTGGTCTCTCCTCTTGTTTCAGACAAGTAGTAGTAAGAACACTGAGAAGGAATTGTCTAGCATTAAAAGGTGAGTTAACATTCCTTGCCTCTATTTACATTTTCTGAGACCTTTAAATTATAAAGACTATAAAACAGGAAATTTTGAAAATGAGGTGAAAAAATTACCTATAATACTTTTACCCGGACAAGTGTTGTTTTTATATATTTCCTTTGAAGTATTAACATATACAAAATCTCTAGATCACAGGTGGCAAACACAAGACCCTCGAGCCCAGTCCGGCCCTCCACCTTGTTTTATCCAGCGGGCACCTTGTTTCTACCCAGCGGCAATGCCGAGCTCCTTGCCCCTAGTTAAGGAGCAGTTACATTTATACAGTCCTAAACTACGTTCTGCCCTTTGAAGGCAACCACAAGGCTGATGTGGCTCCAGTGAAAATGGGGTTTGACACCCCTGCTCTAGTTATAAGCTTCATGAATGCAGGGGTTTTATCTCAATTCCCAGAACAGTGTCTAGCATGTAATATATATTCATACAGTATTTAATAAGTGAATGAATGAATCCACAAACATTTTCCTGTGTTATGTTCTAATGTTTATATAAATTTGCATTATGCTTCTCATTAATATTGTGGTTGCATGTTATTATTAGAGTCTTTAAATTCATTGAATAGTTGCATAATATTTTATTGAGAGGTAAAATTTACTTAACCTCCTGTTTCTTACCCCCTTGGTATCTGGAATTGTTTTCTATTTATTTTTGTCTGTTTGTATATGTGCATGTGTTTGTTGAAGTGTATATGTATGCATAATAGTAGATTATTTCTTTAGGATAGTGGGATTAATGCGTCAGATATTAATTATGCGTCAGATATTAATTACAGACATAATTATGACTTTTAGTACACATTGCTGAATTGTTTTCCAAAATCTTTTTTTTCCTGAAAATCTTACATGAATTTACTCTGCCACTACCAATATATATGAGAGTATGTTTTACTGTAGCCTACTAGTTTTTATTAGTGAAAAATAGTACTTCATGATGAGGTCTGTCCAGAAAGTATCCAGCCATGTACTTTGAAAAATAGAGACATTTATTGAAGAAGATACAGGAAACGGTGTACATAGGACAATGACACTCAGTCCCCTTCAAAGTGGGCACCTTGGAATCTCACACAGTTCCCCCAGTCACCATCAGCTGCCCCGTCATATTTTCCTGAATCTTATCGAGGGTCTGAAATCTCTTTCCTGTCAAAGGTGATTTTAGTTTTGGGAAAAGCCAGAAGTCTCAGGGTGCCAAACCTGGGCTGTTGGGGAGCTGAGTCACCTGGGTGATTTGATGTTTTGCCAAAAAATTGCATGAGTCAAGATGCATGAGCAGGCATGTTGTGGTGATGAAGCTGACAATCACCAGTTGACCATAGCTACAGCCTTCTGAATCATCTGAATAGTTTCCATGAAGGAATGTTCAAGTTTAATGCAAAATCTGATGGAGATTCATTGCTCTAGTCTCTCAGTCATTTTGAATGGGTGCCACATAGTACATAGGCTCACTCAGTGGTCTGCAACTACTACTGACTAATACAGTGAAGTTGTCATGGTTCACACATGTGCATTCCAGTCCACTCTCCTTGGCTGCCAGGTAATGTTGATGTTGCGCCAACTGTTCTCATATTAACAATGGGTGGACTATTTCTGGACAGACCTCGTATTTACTTTGATTTCTTTGGTTGCGTGGAGGTTGAATATTTTCCCATATTTATTTACTAATTGATTTTTCTTTTTTGATTCATCTTTTACTTAATTTTGTCAGTTAAGACTGGTTTTACTTCTAAAATTTTACTTCTTAATTTTCTCAGCTACAAAGCCAGTTTAGGTGGCATGGTCATTAGTGGAGATACTGTTTGTAAAGTTACCAAAGGTTCAATACTGTCTATGGCTCTTCATCCATCAGAAATTAGAACTTTGGTGGCAGCTGGGGCCAAATATGGGCAAGTTGGACTTTGGGATGTGGTAAGTTACTATTCATTTTTTTAAGATATTAAAGTTTGACTGAAGCAAATAGTCTGCAAGAAGATAACCTAGAGCTATTTGTTTATAGATGCCAATTATTTATATATTTGTACTTTGCGATTCTAAATTTAAAGTCTTTTGAAGTGCAAAAGTCATGAATTTTGATGAATTCCAGTTTATCAATATTTTTATGGATTATGCTTTTGGTGTTATATCTAGGAAATCTTTGTCTACCCCAAAGTATTGAAGATTTTCTTTTTTTTTTTCAAAAACTTTTATGATTTTAGCTTTCACATTTAGTTTGCTGATATATCTTGAGTTATTTTTTTGTATATAGTGTGAGGTAAGGGCCCAGGTTTGTCATTTTGTATGTGAATATCCAGTTGCCCAAGCATTATTTGTTGAAAAGACCATTCTTTTGCATTGAATTGCCTTGATGCTCCCTCATTTTTTTCTCTTAATTTTCTGTCAGATTTTTAGTCATGCCTAGGATTAAAAGTTCAGCCCTGGGTCATGTAGCTCAGTGGATTGACTGCCAGCCTGTGAACCAAAAGGTTGCCAGTTCAATTCCCAGTCAGGACACATACCTGAGTTGTAGGCCAGATCCTTGACTGGGGGCATGCAAGAGGCAACCTATTGATGTATCTCTTGCACATTGATGTTTCTCTCCCCCTTTCTCCCTCCTTTTCCCTCTCTCTAAAAATAAGTAAATAAAATCTTAAGTTCAGTTATCATTTATTCAATTATCTATTCACCCACACATTGAGTATTTTGTATTAAGTATTCTTAAATTTTTTTTTTTACTTTTTAAAATATTTATTTATTTGTAGAGAGGGGAAGGGAGGGAGAAAGAGAGGGAACATCAATGTGTGGTTGCCTCTTGAGTGTCCCCCATTGGGAATCTGGCCCACAACTGAGGCATGTGCCCTGACTGGGAATCAAACCAGTGACTCTGGTTTGCAGGCTGGCACTCAGTCCACTGAGCCACACCAGCCAGGGCAAGTATTATTCTAATAACTCCCCAGCCAGTAGACATTTGTGAGCACGGAGTGTTTTTGTCCTCATAGAGTTTAGAATTTAGTAACAAAAACAGCATGAATGAAATAATTTTCAACTATGTGATTGCATATTTGATAAGTGGATTATATGCTGTGACTAATGTCATGAAGGAAAAGTAGTGTTATAAAAACATGTAACGGGGGACTGGCCTAATTTGGAGGATCAGGGAAGGCTTCCCTGAGGAAGTGAGAACTGAGTTGAGGTTTGAAAGCTAAGTAGGAGGGAACCAAGTAAAGAAATTAAGAGTGTTTTGGTCAAAGTGAACAGTATGTCAAGGACCTTAAGCAGGAGGATGCTTGATACATTCAGGGACCTGAAGAATGCCTGTGTGTCTGGAGCATAGCCAGCAAAGGAATGAACACGGGATTAATGGAATAGGAAGAAGCTATAGAGATGGGCAGAGGGCAGATGTATCTTTTTATAAGTTTTGTTAAGAATTTTGTTTCTCATCCTAAAAGCAACCAGAAACACTTCAGGAGTTTTAACCTGGGTGTTCCCTTTAATCCTTTCTAGTATATTCCACTAATGTTTTTGCCCCTTTCCATCCTTACAGCTACCGTGTTTGGCCAGAGCCCATCTCCTTATTTTGGGATTACTATAGTAGTCTTAACTGGTGCTTGTACTTCCAGTTTTCCTACACCAATCCATTTTGCACAGATGGTTGTTTTTAGACTCAAAACAAGCTGCTCCTGGACTCCTTTAGGTTTAAAGTAGAATGCTCTTAACCTGATATATTTAATTTAGAATTGGGTAGGGGGATGGAATTTTCCCATAGAATGTGCAAAAGATAGTCAAATGAGAAAAAATATTACAAAATAATAAGGAAGAAATATAACTTAATACAGTGCACTTCAAAAACTAGTTATCAGGACAGCACCTCCAAGCCCAACACAAGTAGCAGTCATCTGCAGATCGCTTTTTAGCTAATGCTGTGTGACCCCAGACAGAACACAGGCAGTGGGTGACCTTGGATGTGCCAACAGCAATCAAGTCTCAATTCCAAGAGGAGGGTGTACACAGTCTACACAGTGGGTGCACCTTGAGTTACCCAGCTTGGATAATAGGGGAAGGCTGTGCCACTGGATCGATCCTACAGGACACCAATTACATTAAGCCATTCTATCAAGCCTGGGAGACATAGCAGCTCAACCTAATAATATAGAAACAAACAAAGGGAGGCTTCAAAAGTTAGGAGACAAAGAAATATGGCCCAAATGAAAGAACAGATCAAAACTCCAGAAAAAGAACTAAACAAAATGGAGACAAGCAATCTATCAGATGCAGAGTTCAAAACACTGGTTAAAAGGATGCTCAAAGAACTTGGTGAGGACCTCAGCAGCATAAAAAAGATTCAGTCAGAAGCAAAGGATACACTAATTGAAATAAAGAACAATCTGTAGGGAATTAACAGTAGAGTGGATAAAGCTAAGAATTAAATTAGCAATTTGGAACATGAGAAAGCAAGAAGCAACCAATCAGAATAGCAAGAAGAAAAAAGAATCCAAATAAATGAAGATAGTGTAAAGAGCCTCTGAGACAACTTTAAGTGTACCAACATTTCCATGATAGGGATGTTGGAAGCAGATGAGAAAGAGCAAGAAATTTGAAACCTATTTGAAAAAATAATGAAAGAAAATTTTCCTAACTTAGTGAAGGAAATAGTCATGCAAGTCCAGGAAGCACAGAGGGTCCCAAACAATATGGACCCAAAGAGGCCCATTCCAAGACACACCATAATTAAAATGACAAAAATTAAATGCAAAGAGAGAATCTTAAAAGCAGTAAGAGAAAAGCAGTTAGTTACCTAAGAGGGTGGCCCCATGAGACTGTCAGCTGATTTCTCAAAAGAAACTTTGAAGACTAGAAGGGATTGGCAAGAAATATTCAAAGTGATAAAAAGAAAGGACCTACAACCAAGATTACCCAGCAAAGCTATCATTTAGAATTGAAGGAGTGATAAAGTGCTTCCCAGATAAAGTCAAGTTAAAGGAGTTCATCATCACCAAACCAGTATTACATGAAATGTTAAATGGTCCCCTTTAAGAAGAAGATAAAAATATGAACAGTAAAATGTCAATAAATACATATCTATCAACAACTGAATCTAAAAAAAAGATAACCTACAAGCAGAACAAAAACAGTTACAGATAGAGAGAACATTTTGATAGTTGCCAGATGGGTTGCTAGGTGAAAAAGGTGAAGGGATTAAGAGGCACAAATTGGCAGTTACGGAATAGACATGGGGAATAGAATAGTCAAAGAAAAAAAATATATATACAGGACCCATGGACATATATACAGGACCCATGGACATGGAGAATGGTATGAGGATTACCTGAGGGAGTGGGGTGGGGCTGGGTGGAGGGGAATAGAGGGAAATTTGAGACAGATGCAATAACATAATATATAATAATAAAAAGTTAGTTATCAGTGTAGAAATAAATTCTGTAGCCAAGGGGGTAGGGACACAGCATGATTTAGCTTCTATCCTGCTCTACCCCCAAAATCCATACTGGTGAATTGACCAAACCCTGAGATTTCACCTGTATTCTCAAAACTAGAGAGAAGCACATGAGTGGATGTGATAGTTTTTTTCTATTGAGTGAGGAATAAGGAAATGGCTGCTGTGGAAAAATGGGGCAAAAGAGGGGTAAGGAGTGAGAATAATAGGACTAACTCTACGAAGGAGATTTTCTTGGTCTATGGAGACCAAGAACCCTGGAATTATCTTCTGCAGGGTGGACCCCTTGTATTACAGGCTTCCTCCTGCTAGGTGAGTGTTCTAGAAACCCATCTATGTACCAGCTTGCATTGTTTGAGAGGCTGTGTTTGGCTTCAATGAATTTTTTTTGAAGACTCTTTCAACACATTTGCCTGTCACTATGGGTGAGCACACCTGCTCACACCATGCTGCATGTTCAGTTTTTGACCAAAAACGGCATGACCCCGTGCCCTATCATCTCTGTTGACCTGATCTTCCCCAAGCAACTTTTTTTTTGTTTTCCTGGATGAAAAAAATCCTTAAAGGGAAACATTTTGCCAATGTAGAAGAGGTAAAACCCAAAACGTCAGAATCACTACAAGTCTTCAAAATTGATGGGTTCAAAAACTGTTTTGAGCAGTGGAAAAAACGTCTTGATAGATGTATTATGTCAAATAGAGAGTACTTTGAAAGTGATTGAAATTTAAACAAGTAAGAATAAATACACAATTTTTAAAATATAAATTCCGGGTTTTTGGGAGGTCCTCTCTTATAAGCCACCTTCCACCCAACCTTGCTGAGTACGTGGTAAGAATCCTGGTATAAAATAGTGAACAAAATCTCAAAGACTAGGAATTACAACAAATATTGCTTATTGTTTCAGCTAAAATCATCTGTTCATCTTCCCCTTCCTGCCCCCTTCTTTTTTTCTGGGCAACAGAAAAGTCTGTCCTTTTCTGAGAAAAAATGAACTGGTACGAGACACTAGGAGAGTCAGTATGTTATATCAGAGCAACTAATGAGGACAGAGCAATTCAAGCATGATGAAAATGAAAAGAAATGACATAGCAACTAGACAAACACTATAGCAAAAACAACAAAAGAACCTAGCATACAAAGACAAACCTAGAAGAAGAAAAAACTTAAGGAAAGGAAGGAAATTCTTCTCAGTTGTTCCACTAGTAGAGCAGCACTAGTATAGAACTGCACTAGTCATATGGGACTATTTATATTTAAATTAATTAAAATAGAAAATCTAGTTCTTCATTTACACTAGACATATTTCAGATACTTTTTTTTTCCCCTGTGCCCATGCACTTCAAATACTTAATATCTGCACTTAGCTAGTGGATACCATGTTGGACAGTACATAAATAAGACATTTTTATCATCTTAGAACGTTCTTTTGGACAGTGCTGCTATGGAGAAAGTTAATTAACATAAATCAGGTAAAATAAAACTCAAGGAAGAAATAATAAAACAACAGAATGAGATGAAAAAGGAGATTGCAGGATTAAGGAAACAAACTGAAGAGTAGTGGAGCTAGTAAATTAGACAAAGGCAAGGAACAGAGTAGACATTGCTGGAGATTAAATTACAGACATTAAGGAAAGATTGGAAGTAATATCACAGATGAAAAAAGGGTTTAAGAGACAAGCCAATAGTAAAAGAAAGAAAAAGAGAACCCCAGAAATGGAACAGAAGATACATTTAAGTGTATTTTCCTGAAAGGACAGGATTGAATTGTAGATTGAATGTGTACACCAAGTTCTAGAAAAATTTGAGACTTTAAGGATAAGGAATTCTTTAGGCAGAAAAGAACAGGTTATATTCAAGGGGAAAAGCCAGGCTTGCCTCAGTTTTCTATAGCAACATTTCATATAATGTCTACAAAATTTTGAGGGAAGGAAGTATGGTCCCAGTACTTACCCAGACCAAGCTATTGTTTTAATGTAAAGGCAGCAGGTAGGTATTCATACATGTGAAAAAACTCAAAAAATGTAAGGCCTATGAGTTCATCTGGAAGAAAATGGCTTAACAGTAAATCTCAGCCAATTAAGAGTAAATCAAAATGAATTCAGGAATGGAGAAGCTTGACAAAAGAATTGATGATAAACAGACTCCATTTAAATGCAGAACTAAAACAACTGTATGGACTATGGTTACAGAAGTGAATATAAATGTGATTTTCTTGAACAAAATAAAAGTAATATAACAGCCCTGGCCATGTAGCTCAGTTGGTTGGAGCATTGTCCTGTAAACCGAAAGGTTGCGGGTTGGATTCCCAGTCATGGCACATACCTAAGTTACAGGTTTAATGCCTAGTCTAGGCACATATGGGAAGCAACCAATCAGTGTTTCTCTTTCACACTGATGTTTTTCTCCCTCTTTCTTTCCCTCCCCCTCTCTCTAGAGTCAATAAGCATGTCCTCAGGTGAGGATAAACAAAATAAATAAAATAAAATAATAATAAAATAGAGAGATGGAGAAAGGAGATCAAAGAGAGATGAGAATAATGTCTTGATCAACAGAAATCATCTAAAATTGAGACATAGTTAAAAATAAACATAATGACTATAACTGCTTTATGTATTATTTTTTCTGTTTTAGGAGATGTATTTTTTAAAGAAATACCGGAAGTTCAAAAATTCCTTTAGCCTAATTTTCTTTTATTATTTTGAAGTATAGCTAAATTTAATACTTTTAATAATGGCATATGTAGCATGATCTTATTTTTTTTCTAAATTTCTTCTCTGTCATTCTATAAATTTAAGTAGATATAAAGATATGTGTAATGACCACTTAGTATTTTAATGGTAATTTTGGATTTGGAGTAATTTTTTTAAACTTTGTATATTTTCGTGTTGTGTGAATAACAATGGACAGTTTTGTTTTTCTAAAAAATAAAATCTATAAACAAATATGCCAAGGTGTTAACAGTGTTAAACTTTGGATAGGAGGAGTATGTGTGGTTGTAATATTTTGTCTGTCTTTTCCTTACAAATTCTTCTGTTTATTTTAAAACTTAAAATAGACTTCTGGTTAAAATGGAGGTGTAGGTAGACACACTTTGCCTCCTTGCGCAGCCATAGAAAAAATTACAAGATTGCAAAACTAGTAACTACCAGAACCATCAGAAAATTGAGCTGTATGGAAGTCTGACAACCAAGAATTTAAAGAAGACACATTCCTCCAGATGGGTAGGAGGGGTGGAGTTGCAGAAATGGGTGGAAAGGCAGTGTGGTGCAAAAAGTTAGTGGTGGCAGTGATGGCAGCAGAATGGATGGGAGGGATGCCTTTGGAGTGAGTGATCCTAACCCCAGGTTGTGCAGCCCAGGCTTCCAGCACTGGGAAGATAGATCCCCATTACTTCTGGTTGTAAAAACCAGTGGGGATTGGGGCAGCAGAAGAAACTGCCAGATTTTTGCTGCTTACAGGGCCACCATGGTCTTAGAATGTATGCAAACCTACCCACTTCGGGATTCACTGCCAGGGCAGCAGATGGAAGGGCACCAGCTGCACATGGGAAGAAGGTGAAGTGACTGGAATGGGGCAAATGCCAGCCAAACTGCCAGAAGGCGGGTACTGGCATTGTCCCCTCTCTAAGCTTTCCCCACAAAGCCACAAAGTGGTGAAGCAGGTTCTTCACCCTAGCAATTACCTAAGGCTCCGTCTCACACAGTTTACAGGTGCCTTTTCTGCATAGGCCACGCTACTAAGACAGGAAGTAAAAGCAGCTCTACCTAATACATAGAAACAAAGACAGGGAGGCTGTTAAATTGAGGAGACAAAGAAATATGGCCCAAATGAAAGAACAGAATAAAACCCCAGAAAAGAACTAATGTAATGGAGATAGCCAACCTATCAGATGCAGAGTTCAGAACATTAGTTATCAGGATGTTCAGAGAACTTGAGTATAGCCAAAAAAAAAAAAAAGAAGAAATGATGATTACATCAAGTGAAATAAAGAATAATCCACAGGAAACCAACAGACAAAGGAAGGAAGCTGGGATTCAAACCAACAATTTGGAACATAAGGAAGAGATAAACATTCAACCAAAACAAAAAGAAGAAACAAGAATTAAGAAAAAACGAGAGTAGGTTTAGGAACCTCTGGGACGCCTCCAAACGTGCCAACATCTGAATCATAGGGATGCCAGAAGGAGAAGAGGAAGAGCAAAAAATTGAAAACTTATTTGAAAAAATAATGAAAGAAGAATTCCCTAATTTGGTGAAGGAACTAGATATACAAGTCCAGGAAGTACAGAGAATCCCAAACAAATTGGACCCAAAGAGGGACACACCAAGACACATCATAATTAAATGCCAAAGTTTAAAGATGAAGAATCTTAAAAGCAACAAGAGGAAAGAAGAGAGTTACCTACAAAGGAATTCCCATAAGACTATCAGCGGATTTCTCAAAAGAAACTATGCAGGCATGATGGGACTGGCAAGATGTATTCAAAGTGATGAAAAGCAAGGACCTAAAACTTAGATTACTTTATCTAGCAAAGCTATCATTTAGAATGGAGGGGTAGATAAAGTGCTTCCCAGACAAGGTAGAGCTAAAGGAGTTGATCACCACCAAGCCATTATTATAGGAAATGTTAAAGGGAATTATTTAAGAAAAAGAAGATCAAAACAAGGAACATTAGAAAGGCAACAAATTCACAACTCTCAATGACTTAATCTAAAAAATTAATAAGCAAACAACCAGAATAGGTACAGAATTATAAATATGATGATCATTTGGAGAGTTATTAGCTGGGTGGGGGAAGAGGGAGATTGGAGGAAATGGTGCCGGGATTAAGAAGTATAATTGGTAGGTACGAAACAGACTGGGGCATGTTAAGATAGTATAGGGAATGGAGAAGCCAAAGAACTTACACACATGACCCATGGACATAAACTAAGAGGGGAATTCCTGGAGGGAATGGGGGTACCAGGCAGAGGGGGGCAAAGGGGGAAAAATTGGAACAACTATAAGAGCATAATCAATAACATATAAAAAATGAAAAAGAAGAAAACAAAAATGGTGGAGTATTTTGCAGCAAACTCAGCCAGATTTGGAGATGGATAGTTGCTTTGGTTCATAATACTATGTATGGCATAGAATATAACTTAGATCAGAAAAGTGATGATTTAATCCAGTTGTGGAAATGAAGATTCTTACATGTAAAATATTAATGTGGAAACTCAAATACATGCATTTTCATGGTGTATTTAGAAGACAAACTATTTCTAAACTCATATTTTGTCCTAGTACCTAATACCTTGTGAAAATTATTCTAAGAATGCTAGGTGTACCCATATTACATAGCAGCATACTTAGGAAGCAAAATGATAATGGTATTTGATATGGGTTTTTTTTTTTTTTTTGGTGGTAAGGAATAATACTATGTGTAAAATAAAAAGTAGACCTCTCATTTCCTGACAGTTTTATGAACTGAAGTTATCCCAAGTAGTGATTTTTTTCTTCTGTATAATGAAAAAACTAATTTCCAAAAAAATGAAACTGTTAAATGTGACTTCTTGTTGGATTGAAAATTAGAGAAAAAGTAGCTTTTGATAGTATAAACTTTCTAGTTCTGATTTTCTGAATGGGAGGTGGGTACAATGATAGGCTAAGTAAAGATGATATAATACAGATGTAAATTGTTTAGATGCCATGACATAGAAAATATTACTGCTTTTCATTAGTTTTTGTCCCTGTCCCTTTCCCCAACTGTCTTCCAGACTCACCAACCTAAAGAAGATGGAGTTTATGTTTTTCAACCCCATAGTCAGCCGGTTAGTTGTCTTTACTTCTCACCCGCCAATCCTGCTCACATACTGTCCCTGAGCTATGATGGCACACTACGCTGTGGGGATTTTTCCAAGGCTGTTTTTGAAGAGGTAAATGTTAATGTGTTTACATGTTGATCTCAGGTGCTATTCTGGATTCTTTATGAAATGCCACATGAATAATTATTATACCAGTCAGATTGGGTAAGATGGTAGTGACTTTGGAACTACACCTCCTAAGTCCCAAACCATCTATTACTACTAGTGTAACCTTGGCAAGTTACTTAACCTCTTTGTGGTTAATTTGCCTTAGTTGTTAAATAGTATAGTATCTTATAGGTATCTTATAGGTCAAGAGGATTAAATGCTGATAATGAGTTAATGCAGTAGAGTACTTAGAACAGTCTGGCACATAAGGTTTTCTCTTATTATTTTTATTGTTTCAAAAAGCTTTTAAATAAAAGAACTCTTTTTTTTAGGCTTAACACATACTTTTTCATTCAGGAAAAAATATATTGGAATATAATTATACTTCTTTTGATCATTGCTGGCCTTTGCAGATACGAATTTTGTGGAGATGAGTCTTAGAAGTGACAAAAAAGACTGTAGAAGCTCATCACTGCATAGTACTATATTACATTCTGCCTAAAACTTTTGGCTTGTAACATAACACAGAAACTACAAAATTTGGTTTTCTCTAGTCTTCTAGTTAAGATTTATCATGTCTTATATGCCATATGTATTGGGGTTAGCTCAACTGTTTCTATCTGCTGAAGTTAGAATGAAAATCTGCCATTGAATGTTATATAATTGTGCTCTGGCAAGGAACAGATATCCAGGCTGTTTTATGCAGAAGATCTTAGGCCAAGTTGATCTGTAACCAAATTTATCTAAGTTTATTGTTAAGGATAATGTCTTTTGCTGGGCTGGTCTAAACCCTGCTGGTCTAAATCCCCGTTTAAGAATAGTTGAAAGATATTGGGCTCGTGCTCGCTCACGGTCACTCCTCCTCCCAGAGGCACTCTACCTAGATCACCACCAGGTGACTTACTTCTTGGAGGTTTTCTAACCAGTTTGACCTCTGGCAGGGTTGGCCTGAGGCCTGGGGAATCCTCACATTGCTGGATCCCAGTGATCAAGTTTTGGCCTACTACTTAAATGTCTACTGCGTAATGCTTACAACAAACATATCAGTTGAGGTGCTTAACCATATCAGATTTCCTTAATAAGAGAATTCTCATAAATCAAACTCTTTCCTTAACATTGAATTTAATCTTTGTGAAACTTAGATGTAGGTTTAGTGACCTTTTGTAGTCAGCCTCCTCTCCCTTCCCGAAGTCCCTAGCAACCACTGATGTGATTACTGTGTCCCTGTAATTTTGCCTGTTACAGAATGTTGAGTGAATGGAATCATTTGGAATGTAGCTTTTTGTGTTTTGTTTCTTTCACCTAGCCTGACACTTTCAAGATTCATTCATAATGTTGCATGCATTAGTACTTTGTTCCTGATACTACTGATTGAACAGTTACCTTGTGTTAGACATTAACTTGAGTGTGCTTTTTATATGTTATTAAGCTTTATAACACTTTATGAAATAGTAGGTAATGTTATCTCTCATTTAACAGTTGAAAAACTGAGGTAAAGGGGTTTATTAGTTCGCTCAAGGACATAAATGGCAGAACTAGAATTTGCACTTGGGTCTGTCTGACTCCAAAGCCTTAACACTTAACCATTTTAATATACTGACTGAATACTTCAAGTTTCATTCGTGGGTTTTTGGGGTATATGGTGGTTGGGATGCCTTTGGTATATTACTTGGATAATCTCAGTTTATAATATTATTAAAACTAAAAATCAGCAGTAGTTCATGATTCAACAATGAGAATTGTGGTCCTCCTCTCTCAGTTGAGTACTGACACATTTTACATTTATTTTTTAATCCTAATGTGTGTGAGCCCTGAAACCAAAGTGATAGTGGATTATAAGTGATTAAAAATAATAATACACATTCATGATAAAACATTTATTGTAAATAGGGTATGTAGAGCAAATCTGCCCTTTCCCCATTTTCCCATCCTTGTGTTTTTTGGGTGTATTTCCAGAAAGTACACATGTGCTTACAAGCATACAGAGGTTTTTTTCTTTGCACTAGTATAGTATGGATTCACACTATATACATACTTTTTTGCAACTTGTTTTTTGCACTTACTAGTATATCTTGGGCAGCTTGTAGTATAAGTCTTCCCTATTCTTTTTATCATTGTACAGTATTTCAAAGTAGAGATGTACCATCATTTATTTAACAGCATCTCTTGGTGGACATTTAGATAATCTCTTATTGCTATCGTAAGCAGTTTTGCAGTAGGCATCCTTATTTATATCTCAGTGAAATTATTAGGTATGAGCATTAGATATTTTGATAGATGTATCCTGCTCAGCTGTCAAATTTTGTATGTCTTTATACTTAACTTCAACCGAGAGTAGGTGAGCATTCAGCCATATATCTTGGACTTTATTGGCAAAGTTACTTGTTATTTAAGGTATTTCAGTTGGGTAGAATTCAAATTTAGTCCATTTTGTATTAAGTTTCACAGGGTAGATCTGCAACTGAGGTTTGTTGGATTTAAGAGACTTGGGATGTAGCCTTGACATAGTTGGATGGGCCATTTGATTTGGGTGAGTCTCACAACTGATCAGTGCTTCAGTTTCCATCTCTGTAAGTGGGGATGATCATTTTGCCCTGTGCTTCCTGTGGGATGGAGGATAAATGAAGTTATTGGGTAAAGTGTTTCATAACTTAAAAGAAAAGATTTTATTTATTTATTTTTAGAGAGAGGGGAAGGGGAAGAGAATGAGAGGAAGAGAAACATCAATGTGTGGATGCCTTTCACACGCTGCATACTAGGAACCTGGCTCACAACCTAGGCATGTGCCCTGACTGAGAATTGAACCAGTGACCCTTTGGTTCCCAGTCCAGCGCTCAATCCACTGAGCCACACCAGCCAGGGCTTCATAACTTTTGAATGAAAGAATTTATGCACTGGCTTTCTTTAAAAGAAGAGTTATATAAAATTGATTGTTACTTATATCCTTAGGTATACAGAAACGAGAGAAGTAGCTTTTCCTCCTTTGACTTCTTGGCAGAAGATGCCTCCTCTTTAATAGTAGGACACTGGGATGGAAGTATGTCATTGGTGGATAGAAGGACACCTGGAACTTCTTATGAAAAACTTATCAGTTCTTCTATGAGAAAAATAAGAACTGTTCATGTCCATCCAGTGCATAGACAGTATTTCATAACTGCAGGATTGAGGTATGTTCTTCATAAAACTTTATGATTTCAGGCCTTTTATGTTAGGAAAAATGTTTCACTTTTGTTGTAAAAGACATCTGGCTTTCATGATACGCACAGCTGGATAATCTTCCTTTGTATACAGAGTTTTTTTTTAGTATCTTTTTTTAAAAGATTTTATTTATTTAGAGAGAGGGGAAGGGACCTGGCCCACAACCTAGGCATGTGCTCTGACTGGGAATCAAACTGGGAACCTTTTGGTTCACAGGCTGGCACTCAGTCCACTGAGCCACACCAGCCAGGGCTTGAGTATCATTTTTTAAAAATGAGATATTCTTTTGGATATAATAAATAAGTGGAAGTAATGAAACAGGTACACATTTTTATTTTCCTTACCTTCGTATGCATTTACTTCTGATCTTTTGAGAAGAAAACTTGTAAAAAAAGTTATATGTGACCTATAACTTGTTGGTCTGTGTTAATTTTTTTCTTGGAGAGATTGGAAAACCAACTGGATTCTTGTCTGTCTATACCCACTGATTACATTATTATGCTATAGTTTTTGGAATTTTTCTAAAATTTTAACTTTGCTAGTGTTTATAAAAATACAGAAGATTAGAGAGTTCTATCTTAATTGTCCTTCAATGTAGTGAGTATTTGAGTGTCTAATTTATTCTAGACACTATTCTAGTGGCTTATTAGATGGACTGTGGTAACACTGAATCATTTTTTTTTTCATTACAGCGATGTTCATCTTTATGATGCTAGGCGCCTGAATCCCAAGGGAAGCCAGCCTTTGATTTCTTTGACTGAGCACACAAAGAGCATCGCTTCTGCTTATTTTTCACCTTTTACTGGTAACAGAGTAGTGACCACATGTGCTGATTGTAAGCTGAGGTAAATTGGAAAGACAGAAATAGGCTGTTAAAAGAATCTAAAATATCTGTAGTTACTGTGTCAATAAACCAGTAGCTTTGTTTACTGCTGCTCCCTGTTCAATCACTAGTGGTATTGTTTTATAGCTATAGATAGGTTCCTGGAGGTCAGTGACCTATATTTGATGGCTTTTCAGAAGTTTTTGTGTCTGGAAATGTCCTTCAGATTGGCAAGGAAGGCCTGTAGCTAACCTGGAGAATTGATGTCAGGCCTCCCTTTCAGCAGTGAACAATCCCAGAAATCCCAATGAGAGCAGGCTCATGATACCTTGAAAGGGAAGTAATTTTAGTGCGGGGAGAAGCTCGCTCTTTGGGGATGGTAGGTTCTACCTGACAAGTGAAAACAAGTGAAGTGCTGAATGGAAGCTGCAGAGCCCCAGGACATGTGCAGACAGAAAAGATACAAAAACTGGACTTCTATATAGACTAGTAGGTACAGTTTTATGGTTTCAGCTTTGCTACCTTTCTATAGCTACTTCCTAAAAGTGGATTTAAAAATGTAAGTAAATCAGTTGAACCAAAAATAGAAAATAATGTCAATAAAAAAAGATGTGATGTTAATGCAGCCACAAAGAAAAATGATTGTGTTCTCTTCCTGAGTCCTTGATTTTCCTTAACATTGCAAGCATTTCTCAATTTACGAGAATTTTATCTTAAGTGATTTTGGAATTGACTAATTATTTTTACATCAAGGATCCATTGAATGTATACTGTGAGCCAGGCTCTAGAAAGGCACCTGATTTCAATTTAGACCCATCTGTTGGGAAGAGCTTGGTCTGCAGTGTGTAGCATGTGCCCAGTTTGTTTCTAGTAAAGTCTTTGCACATTACCAGGTGATGCATTAAGAGATTTAGTCACCAGGCAGTGGCAGCTCAGTCTTCACTTTCCACCTACATAGTGTCCTTTGTCTCATGAGCTACCTGTTTGTGTCATTCCTGTTCATTTGCACCGTAGAGTTTACTCTCATTACATTAGCTGTTAGGGATTGGCTTTTTGGTCATCTAATTAGGTGGTAAGCTCTAGTCCCAAGAAACTGCACTGGAATAGCTAGGTACGAGGAAAAAGGGGAAGGAGGTAGTGATGTGGTTCGTTTCTTTCTGCCAGCGTACCTGGTGGATGGAGGCTCTGGGCTCCTCCAGCTGCTTCACCAGACCTCCTCCCCTTGTGTGGGTCTAATTCTCATCAGCATCTGGAAATGACACAGCCAGACCCTCAGTTGATGAGTCTCTTGAGGAAATGGTTCTTGATTCATTCATGTACTTTTAGATTATTTGTGCATTTTTAGACCACATGCCTTATGTATGACCTATATTATTGTGAATCTGAATATAGTTTAGAATCCAGATTACTTTAGAGCACAGGTGGCAAACACAAGTCCCACAGGCTGAATCCGGCCCTCCACCTCGTTTTATCTGGCCTGGCACCTTGTTTCTACCTGGTGGCAGCGCTGAACTCTTGCTTAACTGTTAAGGAGTAGTTACATTTATACAGTCCTAAAATTACATTCGGCCCTTTGAAGGCAACCATGAGGCTGATGTGGCCCCTGGTGAAAATGAGTTTGACACCCCCGCTTTAGAGTGTACATTTTAAGTGTGGAGTAATAATGTTTAAATAAACTATTTCTACACTACACAATAAGCATTGAATTTTATAATATTCTTTGTAATTTTTATTAAATATATTAGCTGAGATTAGATCCTGATTCTATATATTTTAAAATGACAGTCATATTCCATGTCATGAACCAATGAAAAGATTATTAAACACACTGATGTTATTTCAGAAAATTTACAAAAAACAATAAAAAGAGCATTACTTTATTCTTGTTCTTGATTTTGCAGAATCTTTGACAGCAGCTGTATGTCCTCTCAGATTCCTCTCCTCACCACCATCAGGTACGTTTCCAGATACCAAATAATGTAGACGCTGGATTACTATGGGCTATTTGTTGGAGTTCATTCACTAGACACTGATTGTCAAAGAGATGTAATAAGTCTGATTGTTGTGTTACATTGTGTAAGTGTTGCAGGTTGCTACTTCCTCTCCAGTCCAGAAAGGGTTCTTGCTTCCAGGTTCCCTGTGTTTATAAAGAGGTTCAATCTCTTTCAGTCAGTAGCTGTTCTCTGCAGCTGGGTGGTTATTTTTGGTTAAGGTGATTGACTTTATTCCAATCTGCATTATTCATGTTATATTATTAAAGAAGATGGTAACTGCTCACTTTTTGATGAGCGCCCTCTCACTTTATTTCTTTGGTTACCCTCTTTTTATATCTGCTACTTTTAATGTAGCTATTTACATCAAACTTTACTGGATGCCTTTTTCCTAGACATCCCTCTTTATCTTTATTTATTATGTTGGGGACAGGGCAAGCAATAAATGTTGATTGTTGCTTCAGGAGTTTTATAGTCTATAGAGGCTACATTTTAAGTGTATTTGTTTCTGTTTCACAAACTTCTTAAGTTACTTTTTTCAAACTTTATTCTAGTTTATTAGTTTCTAATGTGTATTTTTATTTATGTATTTATTACTTTTTTACTTTTATTAGTATTTATTTTATGCTGAATTTAGTCCTGGGCCATAAGTTTTTGTTTCTTCAGTTTCTGGGACATCTTACTCTAGTGCAGCCTCCTCATAAGTTTTTGTTTCTTCATTCTTCTGGGACATCTTTCTCTAGTGCAGCCTCCTCATCTGGTTCAGGAACAACCTGCTCTTTGTCAGGAAGGAGTGTCTCAGTGCAGCAGGGAGACCTCCTGTGTGGGTTCACCCGCCCGTGAGCTCTGTAAGTTCTATGCTGCATCTTGGGAGCTTTGTTCACTTGCATGTGCTCAAGGACCAGAGAGTCCACATCTATGCCCTTAAGTTCAGCATTACTCTCTGTGCTTTTAAGCATGTGCAGCAAAAACTCAGCACTGTTTTTGGGCCACTAACCCTGTGTCTGGCCCCTGTATTTGGCCTGGGCACGCCTGCCGACCCCACCATTGTAACGACAGAATGGCACACATTGCTTCTGTAAAGTGACACCCTTTGGGTATGTGGTGGCTTTTTGGATGTGCATACCCTTGATGGCCTGGGCAGTTTCACAAGTGTTCTTAAAGTGAACATGAAGATTTGAACCTCTTGTTTTTGCATGATTTTGTGGGGTTTTCTGGGTCAAGTGAATAGTGAATCATTTTCAGAGGTCACCTCTGGCTGCTTTTGTAGTCTAGAGTATATTTTTTAAAAAATTTATCTAGGGTGATGAATCTGGGGTCAGTATGAATTTTCATTGAAGATAGCACCATTGAGGGACAGTGGGAAATTTGGTTCTCTGTAGTCCATACTTTAATAAGAAAGGGCTGTTAATAGTATTAAGGTATAGAGAGTAAAAGGACAGTACTTTTCTTTCTGCTTTGGAGAGCAGTAAAGAGCCCCAAATGTATTTTTTACCATTTTAATTTATTTTTAGTTGTGGTTATAAACCACCTTAACCATTTTTAATGTGCAGTTCATTAGTGTTAAGTATATTTGCATTGTTGTATAACAGATTTTTAGAACTTTTTCATGTTACAAAACTGAAACTTCTATGTACATTAAACATTAGTTCTTCCTTCCCTCTCCCCTCAGACCTGGACAACCATTGTTAATTTCCATTTCAATCATTTTGACCTCTTTAGATACTTCATGTGAGTGATATTATATGGTATTTGTCACAATGTGACTGACTTCACTTAGCATAATATGCTGGAAGTGCACTCATGTTCTAGCATGTGACAGTGTCTCCTGTTTTTAAGACTCCATAATATTCCATGTATGTCTGTGCCTCATTTTTTATCTGTTGTGGACATTTGGGTTGGTTCTACCTCCTGGTTATTATGAAAAATGCTGCAGTGAACATGGGTGTGCAAATATCTCTTCAAATCCTGCTTTGAATTATTTTGAATAGATACTAGAAGGGGAGTTTAAATTGATTGTGTGGTAATTCTTTTTTTAATTGAGGAAACTCCATACTATTTTTATGTTTATAAAATTTTTATTTACTTTTGGAGAGAGGGTAAGGGAGGGAGAAAGAGAGGGAGACAAACAGCAATATGCGAGAGATACATCGATCTGTTGCCTCTCGCGCTCCCCCAACTGGGACCTGACATGCAAACCAGACATGTGTTCTGGGAATCAGACCAATGACCTTTTGGTTTGCAAGTCAGTGCCCAATCCATTGAGCAATGCCAATCTGAGCTCCATACTGTTTTTCCATAGCAGCCACATCATTTTACATTCCCACCAAGAATTGCGCTGACTGGTGTGGCTCAGTTGGTTGGAGCATCATCCTGTAACCAAAATGTTGCAGATTCAATTCCTGGTCCAGGCACGTGTGGGAGGCAACCAATAGTGTTTCTCTGTCACATCTGTGTTTCTCTCTCTCCCTTCCTTTCTCTTGGAAAGCAATGAAAAAATGTCCTCAAGTGAGAATTTAAAAAATGTACCCAGGTTCTAATTTCTATATATTCATGAATAGTTGTTTTCTCTTTTTTGTTTATGATTATCCTAATGGGTATGATGTTGAAAATCTGATATTAAAAATCTTCTCATATGCTTATTGGCCATTTGTATATCTTTTTTGGAGAATTGTCTGTTCAAGTCTTTTGCCCATTTCTGTATTGGACTATTTTTGTTTTTGTTAGTGAGTTGTAGGAGTTCCTCACATATTTTGCATATTAACCATTTATCAAGTATATGATTTACAAACACTTATCATTTTGTAGGGTACCTTTTCCCTTTGTTGATTGTTTTCTTTCATGCACAAAATTTTAAAGTTTGGTGTGGTCCTATTTGTCTGTTTTCACTTTTGTTTTCTGTGCTTTTGGTGTCATATCGAAGAAATTGCCAAGTCCAAAGTCTGAAGCTTTTCCCCTATGTTTTCTTTTAGGAGTTTTATAGTTTAAGGTCTTATGTTAGGTCTTTAATTCATTTTGAGTTAATTTTTACTGTTCGACTTCATCTTTTGAATGTGGATATCCAGTATTCCCAGCACCATTTGGTGAAGAGACTCTCCTTCCTCATTGCATGGTCTTAGCACTCTTGTTAAAGGTGATTTGACCATATACATGAGGGTTCATTTCTGGACTTCCTATTCTTTTACACTGGTTTGTATGTTGGTATTTATGCTGGTACCACACTGTCTTGAGTCCTATTGCTTTTTAGTATGTTTTTAAATCAGTAAGTTTGAGGTCACCACATTTCCACCTTTGTTCTTCTTCTTTTTTTAAATCCTCATCTGAGGACATGCTTATTGATTTTAGAGAGAGGAGAAGTGTGTCTATGTGTGGGATCTTTAAGGTTTTCTATATATAAGATCATACAAACAGACAACTTTACTTTTCCTTTCCAATTTGGATGGGTGTCTTTTATTTCTCTTTCTAATATAATTGACTGTCATGTGACTGCTCAGAATGTGTCTCTCTTATCAGATGCTTATCAGTTTAATGGTGACACTTCATGTTCAGAACACTCCATGTTACCTGTGAGATTATGAAGACCCATAAGTTAGGCAGATCATTGTATCTAGTCCTATCCAGTTTTCTAGTTTTACCGGATTTATATTCTGTTGAATAGAAGTCACAAAAGTGGGCATCCTTGCCTTTTTCCTGATCTTAGAGGAAAAGCTTTCAGTTTTTCACCATTGTGTATGACGTTAGCCATGGACTTTTCATAATGGGCCTGTATTATGTTGAAGTGGTTTCCTTCTGTTCCTGGTTTGTTCAGTGTTTTTATCATAAAGGGAATTGAATTTTGTCAAATGATTTTTCTGCATCAATTGAGATGATCATATGGTTTTTGTCCTTCATACTGTTAATGTGGTATATATATTACATTGATTTTTATTTTTAAAATTCTCACTTGAGGATATGTTTTCATTGATTTTAGAGAGGAAGGCAGGGAGAGAGAGAGATTGAAAGAGAACCATTGATTTTGTTTTTCCACTTATTTATATATTCATTGGTTGCCTCTTGTATGTGTCCTGACTGGGGATCAAACCTACAACCTTGACATAGGGCCTGAGTTTTGGTCTTGTAGGAAGGATGAGATTAGGTTGATGGTAACTCAGTAACTTAAAGAAGGACCTTGGTAGAGAAAATCAGCATTTAGGAGCAATACCATCTTTACTCTCTGCCCATTGCTACCCTGAGTTATTTACCACTTAATTGTCTTAAATTGTTTTTTTTCACTAGGCACAACACCATTACTGGGCGATGGCTGACCAGATTTCAAGCTGTGTGGGACCCTAAACAAGAAGACTGTGTCATAGTTGGCAGCATGGCCCATCCACGACAGGTGGAAATCTTCCATGAGACAGGAAAGAGGGTGCATTCTTTTCTTGATGGAGAATGCCTTGCCTCTGTGTGTTCCATCAATGCTGTGCACCCAACTCAGTATATTTTGGCTGGAGGTAATTCCAGTGGGAAGATACATGTTTTTATGAGTTAAGAAAGTTGCTGGGTTTTTGGTTTAGCAATACTAGTTTGTTCAAATTAATTAGTGTTTATTTAGCAAATATAAATTGCTTTATTAATAGCTATACTCAGAATGCTTTTTTTTTTATTGAGGGAGAAACCTTGGAGATTGTTTCCACAGGATGGGGAGGAAATATGAGGGAGGCTATGATGCCTTCAGCACTTTAATCAAGCAGTGTGTTGAGAAATTGTAACATTATCAGTTTTAAAGCTTTGAATGATAAGAATTAAAAACTTTTGTGGTCTGATATTGTTTTTAAAAAATTTATTGGAGCGACATTGGTTAATGATAACATCATGTAAGTTTCAGGCATATGTCTTTATACTACCACATCTATATACTCTGTTGTGTGTTCACTGTCCAAAGTCTAGCCTTCTGGTACTGTATATTTGACCCCCTTCACCCTCTTTGTTTTCCCCCAACCCCTCTTCTGTGGTAACCACTATTCTGTTGTTTGTATATATGAGGGGTTTTTTTGTTTGTTGCTTTTTGTTTTATATCCCACATATGCGTGAAGTCGTGGTTCTTGTCCTTTTATATTTAGCTTACTTTATTTAGCATAATACTGTCAAGATCCATCCATGTTGTTGCAAATAGCAATATCTCATCTCTGTATGGCTGTGCAGTATTCCATGGTACTTACGCCATTACACCACATCTTCTTTATCCAGTCATCTGTTGAGGGACACTTAGGTTGTTTCTATGTCTTGGATATTGTGAATAATGCTGCAGTGAACACAGGGTATGTATGTCCTTACAAATAAGTCTTTTCAGTTTTTTTTGGTAGATACCCAGAAGAGGGGTTGCTGAGTCTTATGGTAGTTCTACTCTTAATTTTCTGAGCAACCGCCATACAGTTTCTCATCGTGGCTGTGCCAATTTACATACCCACCACTGTGTGTGAGGTTTCCTTTTCATGTTTTTTCCAACACTGTTAGTTCTTGTCTTACCGATAATAACCATTGAAACAGGTGGGAGGTGGTATTTCATTGTGGTTTGGATTTGCATTTCCTTTATGACTAGTGATGTTGAGCATCTTTTAATATATCTGTTGGCCATTTGTATGTCTTCTTTAGAAAATTGCCTATTCAGGTCCTCTGTCCATCTTTTAATTGGATTGTTTATTTTTTGATGTTGAGTTGCATATTAAATATTAGCCCCTTATCAGAGGTATTGTTTGAAAATACCTTCTCTTATTTGGTTGGTCACCTTGTTGTTTTGTTGATGCAGAAGTGTTTTTAGTTTGATGTAGTCCTGTTCATTTATTTTTGCTTTTACTTCCCTTGCCTTTGGAGTCAAGTTTACAAAAACTGTGAGACCAATCTCTGTAAGTTTAGTGTCTATGTTTTCTATGTATTTTATTGTTTCAGGTTTTATATTCAAGTCTTTAATCCATTTGAGTTAATTTTTGTGTATGGTGTCAGATTGTCTACTTTTATTGTTTCGTGTGTTGCTTTCCAGTTTTCTGTATATTTATTGAAGAGACTTTACTTTTTCCATTGTATGTTTTTGACTCCATTGTTGAAAATTAGTTGCCTATGTACGTGTGGGTTTATTTTTGTACTCTAATTATTGTTTTATTGGTTAGTCTCTGTTTTTTGGGGCAGTACTATACTGTTTTGATTACTATAGCTTTGTAGTGTAGTTTGAGGCCAGTATGATAACTCTGGCTTTGTTCTTTTTTCTCAAGATTGCTTTAGCTCTTTAAGAGCTTTATGGTTTCATACAAATTTGAGGGGTTTTTTTTTCTGTTTCTGTGAAAAGTGCCTTGGGGTTTTGCTAGGGATTACTTTAAATCTGTATATTGCTTTAGATAATAATGCCATTTTAACAATGGTAATTCTTCCAGCCCATGAACACAGAATATCTTTCCATTTCTTTGTGTCTTCAATTTCTTTTAACAATGTCTTATAGTTTTCAGTGTACAGGTCCTTCATGCCCTTTGTTAAGTTTATTCCTAGCTATTGTATCTTTATTGTTGCAATTGTAAATGAGGTTGTTTTCTTCATTTCTTTTTTAAATATTTTGTTAGTATATAAGAATGCAGAGGATTTTTGTACATTGATTTTGAATTCTGCAACTTTACTATATTATTATTTTTTTAAGATTTTATTTATTTATTTTTAGAGAGGGAGGGGAGGGAGAAAGAGAGAGAGAAACATCAATGTGCGGTTGCTGGGGGCCGTGGCCTGCAATCCAGGCATGTACCCTGGCTGGGAATCGAACCTGCGATGCTTTTGGTTCGCAACCTGTGCTCAATCCACTGAGCTATGCCAGCCAGGGCTATATTTATTATTTTTAATAGTTTTTCTGGTGGAATTTTTAGGGTTTTCTAGTATAAAATGATGTCATCTCTAAATAGTGGCAGTTTTACTTTTTCATTCACAATTTGGATGCCTTTTATTTCTTTTTCTTATTTAATTACTCTGGCTAGGACTTCTCATACTGTTTTGAATGACAGTGGTAAGGTGGGCATCCTTGTCTTTTTCCTGATCATAGAGGAAAAGCTTTCAGAGTTTCACCATTGAGTATGATATTAATTGAGCATTTATCCTATATGGCTTTTATGTTGAGGTACTTTCATCTGTATCCATTCAATTGAATGTTTTAATCTTAAATGGATGTTGTATCTTCTCAAATGCCTTTTCTGTATCTATTGATATGGCCCTTGATTTTTAACTTTTATTTTGTTAATATGGTGTATCACATTGATTGATTTGTGAATGTTAAACCATCCTTGCATCCCTGGAATGAACTCCATTTGATCATGATGTATGGTCTTTTTAATGTGTGATTGTATTTGATACATTAGTTTTTGTTCAGGATGTTTTTGCATCTAAGGTCACCAGAGATATGGGCCTGTAATTTTCTTTTCTTTTTTTTAAAAATATTTTCACTTTAGTTTTTAAATTTATTGAATTGTAGCCTTATGAAATGAGTTAGGAAGTATTCCCTTGCCTTCATTTTTTTTTTTTTCAGGGGGACCAGGGTAGGAAATCTTTGAATGTTTGATAGAGTTCACTAGTGAAGCTGTCTTGTCCTGGACTTTTGTTTTTTGGTAGTTTTTTTTTTTTTTATTATTATTACTGTGTCAATTTTCTTACTAGTGATTGGTCTATTTAGGTTTTCTAGTTTTCCATGATTCAGTCTAGGAAGGATGTATATTTCTAGGAATTTGTGCATTTCTTATAGATTATTGCATTTAGTGGCATATAGCATTTCATTGTGTCCTTGTATAATTTTTGTATTTCTGTGGTGTCTATTGTAATTAGTCTTTCATACCTAATTTTATTTATTGGAATCTTTTTTTTCCCCTTAGTGAGTCTGGCCAGAGGTTTTTCAATTTTATCTTTTGAAAGAACCAGCTCTTTGTTTCATTAATTTTTTTTTAGTCTTTTTGTTCTCTATTTCCACACTGATTTTTACTATTTGCTTTCTTCTACTGATTTTGTGTTTGGGCTTTGTTCATTCTTTTTTCCCTTAGTTCTTTAAGGTAAGATTACTTATTAAAGATTTTTCTTGTTTCTGAAGGTAGGTGGCCTGTAGTGCTATATATCTGTCCTTCTTATTGCTTTTGCCGCATCCCAACAGTTTTGATATGTTGCGTTTTTTTTAATTTGTCTGTAAGTATCTTTCGATCTCTTATTTCTTCTTTGACCCAGTAGTTGTTCAGTAGCTTGTTTTATCTCCACATATTTTTGTTTTTTTTCAGCTTTCCTCTTGTATTTAATTTCCATTTTCATATTGTTGTGGTCATAAAATATACTTGGCATGATTTTAGTTTTAAATTTATTCAGACTAGTTTTATGACCTAACGTATGGTCTATCTTTGAGAATGTTCTATTTGCACTTGAGAACAATGTATATTTTTTTGTTTTGTGGTGGAAAGTTCTATAAATATCTACTATGTACATGTGGTCTAATGTGTTATTTAAGACTTTTCTTATTGATTTTTTTCTGTCTGGATAATATATCCATTGCCATCAATGGGGTATTCAGGTCCCCTACTATAATTGTTTTTTTGTCAGTTTTTCCCTTTAGGTCTGTTCGTAATTGCTTTATATATTTTGTTGCTCCAGGTTGGGTTGGATATATTGATAAGTGTTATATCTTGATGAGTTGTCCCCTCTATTATTATAAAATGTCCATCTTTGTCTTGTTACCTTTTTTGTCTTGAAATCTATTTTGTCCTGATACAAAAGTGCTCTAGCCCTGCTCTTCTCTGGATGCTGTTTGCTTGAAGTTTCATCTTCTGTCTCATTCATTTTGAGCCTATATCTGTCTTCATCGTTGAGATGGATCATCTGCTGGTCACATATAGTTGGGTCTTGTTTCTTAATCCATTTTGCTATTCTGTGCCTTTTGATTAGTGAATTCTGTCCATTTACATTTAGGGTAGTAAATGGTGATGGTTTTACTGTTATGTTCCATTATTAACAATGCCAAAAAAACAACAGCAGCAATTTTTAAGAGTTCAAATTAGTGTAAGGCAGGACTAGAAAACAGTCTGATTTTCAGCTGGTAATTAAAGTACTCCTTATTTTAAGTAAAAATAAAATTAATTAATAATGGCAACAATCATTATAAGAGTCCTTTTAGGGCAAAATTTAATAGTATAAAGAGGTTCACAAAAATAGATTGGTGTTATTTTGGGGAATAATACTTTAATTTTTCCTCAGTTCAGTTTTGATAAATTGTACGTGATCATATAAAAATTACGTCATATTTAAACTTGACTATATAAAAAAGGGAGAGATGAAATGAACTCAGCTGGATGACAGATATGGCAAAATATAAGAATGAAATAATTCTACCTAGGGCACTTATATCATATGCAGATGTAAGGACCATTTTCAGTTGATAGCTTATATTCTTCCCATGAGCAGTCACAGGTTTGGAGTCAGTGATGCAGTACAAAGCCACAGTCAAAACTTCCTGATGCAACACAAAAAAGTTGTTTCTGTTTCCTTATTAAAATGTCACCTGGTTGTCTATTTTTCTTTATCCATTTATTTGTAGTCGAAAGTTAACAAACAGTATCAACAATTATTGTAGGTGAAGTAAGGTATTGCTGGATCAGAGTCTCTCTATAAGACATCTTTACTGATTGAATCAGGAGGTTTATTTAGTTCAACCCTTACACCTCTCTCACCTTTCTTAGTCTTTGTCATGTCACACACCTTCTGTCTCCATTTGGATTATCAACATGACCTGCATATTCTGTTCCATTGCCTGGATAACAAGCAA